CATACATGTTTGACACTTACGTTATTCGTTCGAGGCGCCCAACAGTCTGTAACGATCGTCTTAACGATATAGACGTGAGTAATTGTTCAATTTTAAAATTATTTATATTACTATTTTATTCGTGACTACTTACTTATAATTAATTTTGCATTAATGTAGATATTTGTAAACATTGGCCCTGCAATGTAATTTATGAAATTTGTTGTGTTTTTTCTGTTAATAAAGTGAGCCTGATGAGGTTGGCGTTAAGACCAACGAAACGTTGCTCAAACTAACACCTGACTTTAGAGTTTTTATTCTCACTCCTAAATTAGCTCTTACTGATCGTGTGCTTATGCACTAAGCCTCAAGAAATCATGGAAACAATTGGGAGCAGAACGGCACGTTCAACAAACACCGTAACATTTAGACTTATTTAACTTTTTTTGTTTCACGAAAGTTATTTATTACTATGTGTACAAAGTTCCTTAACTCGTCTTTATCTGACAGAAGTATCTTTCCAGTTATAGAGTTTACTAGAGTGTACTACCCTGTCTACGACCATCAGGTGAGAACATGTTATTTTTGAAGATTGACGAAAAATACTTTTAAAGATGTGTTTTTTGATGTAAGTAGTAAGGTCCAATAGTTTACGGCCTGACCTATAAACTGAAGGAAATATTTTAAACCCCTTATATTATTTTTTAACACAATCACCCTTTATTTCAACACACTTTTTACAGCACTTAATCAACATTTCGATATTTTTGAAAAAATAGTCTGGATTTTTCCATTGAGAATGTGACAAAACCGCTGCCTTCACTTCTTCATCAGTGTTAAATTTTTTTCCTCGTAAGTCCCATTTCAATTTTAAAAGTAAATAATAGTTACTTGGGGCCAAGTTAGGTCTATACGACGGATGATCGAGCTCACTGAAACCGCATCATTTAATGGCAGCCTTGAATTACCTGATGTGTGAACCGGCGCGTTGTCATGAAGCAACAACACTCTTTGTGACAGTTTTTCTTGACGTTATTTTTCAATAACATCTCGCAACTGATGCAATAAGGAAGCATAGTATTCGCCAGTCACAGCTATTGCGTTCTTTAAAATCCACCAATAAAATTTCTTTGAAATCCCAAAATATTGTAGCCATAATCTTTGCTTTTTTGGCCTTGGTAAGCTCAGACGACGCCACTCCATTGATTCCTTTTTTGACAGAGGATCATGATAAAGATCCATAGTTTCATCTCCTGTAACAATAGAATTTAAAAACTTCTTTCTTTCGGCCTTCACAAAGGGATAAAAACTGAGCATAGCACTTTACATGTTCTTGTTTTCTAACAGTGGAAAGAAGTTTTGGGACCTACATTGCACTGACCTTATTCATACTCAAATGTTCATGTAGGATTCTAAGCACAGTTGTTTTGAAAAGTCCCGTCATAGCTACTGATTTTTTAGTCTTAAGCCGTCTGTCTTCCAGTACTTTCTGCTCCGCAAATTCAATGTTTTTATCAGCAATGGCCTCGGATGAGCGTCCTGGACGAGGTTTATCTTCAATTGAGTGTCTTCCTAAACGAAATTGTTTTGCCCATTTTTTGGCGGTGGAATACGAAGGAGACGATTTCCCTTATACAGCATCCAAACGATGTTTGATTTTGGCAGGCGTGTTACCTTCTTTTGTTAAAAATTTGATACTTATCACAGCTAGATACTTAATTTTATCCATTTCAAATTTTTAATTGACTATCTGATTTCAAAATGCTCTATCTTTCTAATGAAATAAAATTACTTAATATCTTTCATTGTGGGTGGGTAACTAAAAGTCTAGTAATTTATTAATAGGTTAGTTTTGTGTCTCCGATTGATGTAATATGGGAAGGCTGGAAACTTTTGGACCTTACCACCTACCACTCTACTGATACTACCGAATTAGTTTTTATCTTTTAATTTTTTTTTCAGTAAGGATACTTTTTATAAGACCTCAAATAAGTTTTTGGTATGAGATTGTCACCTGAGACCTTATCTGATTGTCATAGATAGGGTAGTACACGAGTCTGAGAGAATGGATGAGAGAGTGTAAAATAAATGATTACTAAGGAGGCAAGTATATTTTTACTTACTGTATAATATG